GGAATCATCGATTCTCGACAGGGACAAGTTTCAGGTGGTATGTACGAAAACAACTTTTGACGGGTGAAAGATTGGGTACGTGAGCAGGTGAGTAGGCACGTCGATCGTATGAGGACCGAAATAATCCTCCTCTACTTGGTTCGACACCTTCCACGAACCGTAATACTGACAAAGGAGCTTTCGTGATACACCCTCTTCTTCAGAAAACTCAGACATCTTGACCCAAACGTAACTTCCCACTGTGAAATGCGGAGGCTGACACTTCTTGTTAGCATGCTTAATCATGGCACTGCATCACCTTTCCATAGCTGCAACAACAACTTTGAGCAAGCAATCAAACTTAGCGTTGTAGCCAGGTTGGTCACCATGGTGAAGATGCACAACCAAGTGATAGTTTCACTCCTCACCGCTTAAACTTTCCACCCATGGACTGACTGACTGACTCTCCAAAAGACCACAAAACCCTCTCCTTTGATCCAGCCAAGTTACCACTGCAATCAAACTCGGATTATTCACATTTGTCTTGCATGCAAACAGCGATACAGCAAACTGGCGACATGCGCCCACACAATACTCAAAGATATCGTAACCGGATAAGAGTTCTCTTCAACTGGCTATGGCGGCTCTGCGCCCACACAACTCACTGTTCGCACTCTGGATCACCCTGGATGTTCCACACGCAACACTCAGTGTTCATACGCAACACACACACACACACTGTACTACAGCTATGGCAGCACTAGCTGCCACTACCCTATCGCTATACTACACTGCCCTCTTCGTCTTCGGGCACACTGCAGACCTCCTCGCACAAGCCGCTGAGGCAGCGCTTCCGCATGGCATCCGCAGGAATGAATGAATGGCTGGACGCAGCCTCTTGATTTATACTTCTGCGCTGCGTTGGTCTGCCCTGTGTCCCTTGGCCCTTGGTGCACACAGTCCCAGGCGGTACTTGCTGGACAGGACCGGACTGACTAACTGGGACTGTTGACTCAGCGAGGTGGCCTACCACCACTTGACCACTTGGCCTCTGTTGAACGCAGGCTAACTCCGAAAGGCCACTTCTAGAAGTCTCTAACTTGGCCTTTCGGTAGTGTAGCAGCTACGACTTTGCCTTTTCAGGTAAGTAGCAGCTACGACCTTGACCCTTCAGGCATCCTACAACTACGACTTCGGAACCATCTAGACTCCTACTCTACAGGTCTACAGTTCGATTCCCTTCTACCCTGGGACCTACAACAATCTACCTACCACTGGCGTTCCTACAGGTCGCGGGTTCAAGTCTACAGGTTAACACTGATACTGTACACGGGTAAGACGGGGAACTAGGGATCGAGCCCTGGGATCTGCATTCGCTACTGCAACTGGTGAATACCGTTTCACCACAGCCGATGGAAGTTTTCGCCACCACTGTCACCAAAACTTTCCAGATCTCAGTGCACCATGCACCAACGATCAATCCCACCAGGCTTTCTCTCTGGATCAGATCCTGTCCCCTAGGGTAAAAAAAAATAAAAAATAAAAAAAATCCTATCCCCTAGGGTCTCTAGCCTGACCTACTTTCTTCGGCTGCACACCCAATCTTCTCTCTCTCTCTCTCTCTCTCTCTCTCTCTCTCTCTCTCTCTCTCTCTCTCTCTCTCTCTTCGTCGTTGTCGTCCCTTTCTCCTGCAGGTTTGGCGGATATGGACGCCCTTTTCTTACTTGATACAACGACTCTCTTCAACGCTGCAGCCGGAGGTCTTCTCTAACGTAGCGGCCCTTCTTCAACAGCGGCAGTCTCCCTCCTCGTCCAGCGTTCTCTTTCCACGGCAGCAGCCCTCTTCTTCAAGATCGGGGCGACGGCTATCCCCGGTCCGACGGCGCTCGGTAATACGGCGCGCACAGGCGGTGGCGATAGCGTGTAGAAACGTGCGGCGGCTATTGCATGGCACGAAAGCACGCGAGGCTAGCGTGTAAGTTCGATAGCGTGTGGGAATGGCAGCGCGCACAAGGCACAACAGGGCGTGTGCGAGCAGCGGGCAGCGGCATGTGCGATTGTGGGCGAGGCGGGGCGCGCAATTAAGGCACGATAATGCGCACAAAAGCGCGGCGACTATCGCAAGGCACATAAGCGCGCGAGGCTAGCGCGTAAGTTTGATGGTGCCTGGGAATGGCAGCGCGCACAAGGCACAACAGGGCACGCGCAGGTAGCAGGCAGCGGCATGCACAATTGCAGGCAGTGCGTGGTGAGGCAGGGCCCACAATTAAGGCCCACGATCTTGACGTGGAACGGGAACGGGCGCAGTTGGCAAGTAACTCGGAGCGGCGGCAGCAGCGCGCATGCTTCTTTTTCACGGACGCGCGACGTACCTACGGCGCAGCAGTGCCAACGTGGCAACCTCCTCTCTTTAGCGCGACGGGGGCTGAGGTGGGGCGATCCTCCTTCCGGCTTGCGGGCAAGCTAACATGGTAACCTCTTCTCTTGATGACGACGACGATGATGGCGATCACTATAATGACGTGGCAGCGGCAGCGATCGCGACTCCAACTGAAGGGACAGCGGGAACCAGCTCCAATAACAATGCAATCAGACTTGTCTTCTTCTTTACTCAGCATGCATGGATACAGACGCTGATCAAGCTGGCGACTTGCACCCACACAAGGCTCAGAGATAACGGAGCCAAGAACACAATTCAGATTCAAACTTGTCTCGATCGGCTGACGACGATTCCCCCCTCGAACAACTGTATCCCCAGCAACTTGCTCGCACACACAACTCTGGATCTCCCTGGATGTCCCGCACACATACATGCACATCACACATACACACAGACTAACACAATACTACTAATCTACGGGCAGCTATGGCTGCCGTCTTCTTCCTCTCACTAATACAAGCGGCTATGGCCGCGTCTTCCTCCTCTTAGCCCACTTCCTCTTCGGACACCTGCAGACCTTCGTACGCAAGATGCTTGGACAGCGCTGCCGCACAGCTCACAGGCAGAATGAATGAATGACTGAATGCTGCCTCTTTATGTATAGTTCGGATCGTCGCTGGTCTGCCCCTTTCCACCGGGCCCGGGGTGCACATTGACTTACCGTGAGGGCACGGGTGCGCAACCCGTAGTTTGTTTGTTGATGTTGTTGTTGTGTGTGTGTGTGTGTGTGTGTGTGCGTGTGCGTGTGTGTGTGTGTGTATGTGTGCGTGTGCGTGTGTGTGTGTGTGTGTGTGTGTGTGTGTGTGTGTGTGTGTGTGTGTGTGTGAGAGAGAGAGAGAGAGAGAAATCAGGCGCGGCGCCACTTTGTCAAAACGCCTCGATCGATAAGGCACCACRCTCCCCRCGCACACAGGGAGACTRTCACTTTGTGAAYGCAGAGGGAACGGGAGCGGYYGCCGCTGCTTTTGGCCTGTTTCGATTTCGACCACGACAGGCTTCGAATTCAAACCACCACTCTACCCGACGTTGGAAATTCGGGGGACCGGTAGCACAGGTCCATGAGGTCTACCAGTAGCACAGAGTGGAGAACCGAGTGGTGAATATGGAAAATGGGATGAATTTGCGCTATAAGCTATTTCGCGGTTGAGACAATTTTTTCAATTTTTTAAAACATTTTTCCTGGAAAGATCATGACCAAATCTACGGACCCTCAAATTTTCAGACTTGTTTACGAGTTCTTCTGAGCGTGAAAAATCTTTGAAATAGGGGTAAGCTGTTGTGTGCCAAAAATGGAAAAAGTGACGAATTGGCGTGGCATTTATTTCATGGTCTAAACGATTTTATTTTATTTTGTTGATATTTTTCCTGGAAAGATCACGACCTGGCCTACCCGATACCGAAGTTTCAGATCTTTTCTCCAATTATTCTGCGTACGAAAAATCGCCAAAGTTGGCGCTCGAAAATTGCAAGATTGGACCCGCATGCGCCTTCCAGTCGGCGCCCCCCTAAAACCCCGCCCTAACTCACCACAGGGCCTGCGTCCACGCGGTTTCAGATTCGAAATTTCAAGGCCCTAATGCCACGGGCAGCTACCGGTCCTGCACTTCATTGAACTGCCTATTTCCCATGAATTGGACCCCCAGCAAATACACCACCCTTCCAACTACCACACCGTTTGGTGACGACGACGAAAAATGTTCCCAGGCCAATGTTCCCAGGGCATAAAACGCACCCCTGACGGGCTGCGAACAGTCCCGCATGGTACTTGCGGACTAGACAAAGTGTGACTGGGACTGGGTACCGCTGACCAGGCTAGATAGGCCTAGGACTGCCCTTTGCTGACTGTGCTAGGACTGCCCTTCACTGATTCAGACGCAGACTGACCTCTAGGACCTACGAAAAGCCACTTCCGGAAGTTCCGGAAGTAGCAGTTAGGACCTCTACCACTGCTAAGACTCCTAACACACTGACCTACGGCTCAAGACCCGATGACCACCCTACACACAACATCTAAACATACGACTTTCAGACAGCAGGTCGTGGGTTCAAACACACAGGGGCTCACACGCACTGTACACAGGTGAAGGGAAGGTCTAGGATCGAGCCCTGGGTACTGCATCTGCTACCGTAAAGTTGAAAACCGTTTCAATGCTCTCTACTTTGTCGAACGATGCACGTGGTCGTGATGTTGATTATCACGGTTGAAACTTCAAACCGAAGATGTTAAATCACCTTTCACGGGCCCTTCACCAAATCTACCCTAGGAAAACGGAAGGGGGAGTTTAGAGGGGGAAGTTGGGGGGGGGGGGGGGGGGGGGGGGAAGGAAGGAGGAGAAGAGGAAAAAAGGGAAAAAAAGAAAGGAAAATCGACAATTGGTGTACCATATATGTTGTGTACACATGTTTTTCTTCTGATTGACTAAACTACAAGAGGCCCTGAATTGCTCACTTTTTTCAATGAATTGCTGGTCTTCTCACCTCTCCTTACCTTCTCTTTTTATTCCCCTCTTTTTTCGTTCGTCTTCTTTCTTCTTTCTGTTCTTTGACTCCGTTGCTTCTGAAAACGTTTACCTCTCTACAGGGCGAGGATTTAGACGCAGCTTTTGAGAGCATTTCTGCGTTTGAGCCGGGATGGAGTGCCGCAGATGCGGTGCTTGGAATCGAGGAGTCTATTAAAGACATAAGGTATGGCGTGAATCCGCACATGTCGACATGGTGTCTTTTCTCTTGCCCCCCTTCTTCCTCCTCCTGCCCCCCCGGGTTCGTCCGCTTCCCCACATTACACATGATACAGGATTGTTTGCTCTATCAGACCCTTCTGGTTTGTTACTGCAATTGTACCTCGGCTTATCCAGCCTTCTGTCCTCTCTATGTCGTCATATCTTCATCTTCCACTTCTTCTTCTTCTTCCTGTCCTTCCTGTTCTTCCTTGTCTTCCTCTTCCACATCTCTTCCTTGCCTTCCTCTTCTTCGTCCTCTCCTCTCTTTTCTTTCCGTCTCCTCTTCTTCTTTTCTTTTCTTCTTCTTTTTTTTTTTNTTTTTTTTTTTTTTTTTTTTTTTTTTTTTTTTTTTTTTTTTTTTTTTTTTTGCATAGGGACCATGGTAATCTTCTCTGTATCGCTCCAATTTTAACGAATGTCCTGAAGGACCGTCTCCTCTTCTTCGCTTTTCCCCTCATCCTTTAAATTCTCTTCTTCTCCTCGCTTCTCCTCTTCTTCTCCTCTTCCCCGCTTCTTCTCGTCGTCTTCTTGTTGTCCTCTCGTCGTCTTCTTGTTATCTTCTCGCCGTCTTATCCTTTCCCCCCCTTTTTCTCCTCTTCTCCTCTTCTCCTCTTCTCCTCTTCTCCGCTTCTTCCCCTCTTCTTCTCATCTCCTCCCCTCTCCTCTCGTTTTCTTCTCCTCGGCATCTTTGTCTCCTTCCACATCTCTCTGGTTCTCTCTCACCTTCTTCTCCACGCAATCTCTCTTCTCTGCTCTTTTATGGCGTCCTCCATCGCCTTCATGGTTTTGTTCCGATAGAACAATGATGCTTTTTTTTTTTTTGGTGTGGGCAAACATCACTGAATACCCACCGTCAGAAGATGTCGACCCGAAATCCTTTCCACGACACAGTTTTGGACCTGTTGCATTAACGTCTGTCGGTAGGATGACGTAGGGCATACTGCAGCAAGTGAAAGGCTTCACGGAACGTTTCTGGTGGTTTTATGTCAAGATTCAGCAGTAAAGGTCCTTGTGTGTGTGAGTACATATGTTGTTACGCGACCAGGTCCTCAAGTTTTCTTCCTGCTTTGTCAACGTCACCTTCCGGATCTTTCGCTCTTTTTTTCTCGTATTTTATCCCCCCTCCATCTCGGAATCTATGCGTTCCCATTCCATCCGTGGCGGTGAGGCTCTTTCATCCTCGGTATGAGAAGCGACGGGGGCCTGCAACGGGTATTCTCCTCAGTTGCATTTTGCATTGACGTCAGCATTATCTGTAAGCAGCATCCATCCAGTGTTGTATGCAGATTTTTTTCCCCGTTTGTGTGCGGTATTTCTCCTTTCTAGGCGCAGTTCATTTGCTCTGTTTTTTTGTGCATGTCGGGTAGATGCAAGGAATATGAGTGAGAGCGATAGACAGAAAACCAAGTAGCAAATCACGAAATAGTCCAGATAGTCATGTACCAAGCAGAGAGCACAATGCACCAAGATTCCATCCAAATAAGAGCAATACAATGAATTTGAGTGTCAATGCAGACTGTAACGAGTGCGAGGCTGAGGGAGAGAAGGAGAGCACACACACACACTCATTCACTCGACACGACTGAGGGTCGGATGCAGACACAGTGGCAAGGGCACAAAGTCGAAGTCTTGGATTCCGAATGCCGAAACAACAAGTCACACCGAGTACGAGTACAGTCGCTGGAAACTGGTACGAGGCTGGTCCCCATACTGTACGGGGAGCCGGTATAAGTACTGGTGACATGTACGGTACCAGGGGCATTTCCGCAAAAGCCCCGAGGGCAGAACTGATAAATGCGGTATTTGAAAGTGGCGCCCGAATTGCAGCATGGCGCCACTTGTCCAAAATCCGACGGTACCAAAGGAGGGGTTTGGAAAAAAGGGTGCCAGGCCGAAAACGGGAAGCAGCAGAAACAGCAAAAAGATAGACCAGGGATCGAGCTCTGGCGGAGTCCGTAACACTATCCCCTCCGTCTGAAAGGCAACGTCCCGGCTGCCAAAAAGCCAAGGAAACAAAAGGAGCTGTGAAGGATGGGACGGGGCCGATCGCTGTCGGAGAAGGAGAAGGGGAGTGGTGCAAGTCACAGGGTATTCTGTCTGGTGTTCTGCACCGGTGAAGGTAGGATGTAACTGGGTGGGTCTATAGGGGAAGCTAAGCAATGTTCAGGGAACAGGGGATTTCTATTGATGTTCTACTGGGTAGGGGAAACGATGTTCAGGAAAACAGGGAATTTCTATTGATGTTCTGGTGCGTAAGGCAAACAATGGTCAGGGTAACAGGGAATTTCTATTGATGTTGTAGTGGGTAAGGGAAACAATGGTCAGGGGAACAGGGAATTTCTATTGATGTTCTAGTGGGTAAGGGGAACAATGGTCAGGGAAACAGGGATCTGCTAATGATGTTCTTCAGGGTTGTCAAAGTCAGGGAAAAAAATAAAAATGAAAATGTTTGTTCAGGAGGCAAGGGCTGGTGTGTCCGAAGGAGTCGGAAGCAGAATCTCATGTAGGAACAAAGTGTCCAAGTGTCTTGAAAGGGGATCTGCAGCGGTCTTGATCAGGTCTTGGAGTAGGTGGTAGAAGCAGTCTTCAGCGGCTGCGACAGGTAGAAGTCCAAGAAGCGTAACAGTAGTTCAAATGTCCAAAGTCCAAATGCTAGGGTGCGTCCGGTACAAGAACTGCGATGAGGTCTGATCTGGAAGCAAGGAAGTCACAGACTGATGCAAAGATCCATGTCACAAGTTGCTGCTCCAGTAAGTCCGCGAGTTGGGATGCCGGCCGATGAAACAGCATGGTGGCAAAACCAGCTGCATAATCTCCATGAACAGTGAGGCAGCAGGCCATCGTCCTTGTGCGCTTGCCATTAGGTCCTTTATCGTCGGCATCATGCAGGTTCATAAGCATTGGACAAGAGAGACAAGGTAGTGGAGAGGACAGATGCGACAAGGCTAGGCGAGGGCAAGGGCAGATCAGACATCAGGAATCGGGGTCGAGGGGAGGGTGGACTGGGTTCAAGGGTGTGTGTAGAACGGAGTTGCGAGGTTGTGTGTAGAACGGAGTTGCGAGGTTTATACAGGGGCTTAGGGTTGTAGTTACGTGGGTGTCTAGGACATAGGAGTAACACGATCATAGGCGCGGACAAGTTTCATGGCATTCTTGAGATTCGAGAGAGGTTCCCATGTAGATTCTTCATCGGGGTATCCGGTCCATTTGACTTTGTATTCAGTGATTGGTTCCTGGTGGTCAGATACGTGAGTAGTTCGTCAATCTATGATTGCTTCAACAACGAATTCAGGGCCTGTGGGTAACATGACAGGTGGAGGTCTAGGATATGGGCGGTCAGCGAATTGGGTTGGGGATTCATGATATTCTTTCAAGTATTCGACGTGGAAGACCGGGTGGGAGTTGAAGTTTGTAGTTGACGTCGGAGGTTTTTTCAATGATGGGGAAGGGTCCAAGCCATTTATTCGAGAGTTTCTTTGACAATCCATGTTCGGGTTCAAAGCATTTGCCGGAGAGCCAGACTTTGTCCGCTACTTTGAATTGCAAGTCTCGTTCGTGTTTGTTAATCTTGTGTTCTTTCAAGGTGCTTCGGTTGCTTCTCTGAGGAGTCGATTCATTGTTACTACCCATTCATTGAGGGAAGGGCAGGGTGTTGAGGGGTTGAGTTGCGAGGGAAGCAGGAAATCAGAGGGCAGGCGGGGATGGTAGCCAAGGTCAAGGTAGAATGGAGACATACCAGTGGAAGGACAAACAGCGTTGTTGTAGGCGATCTCGGCGGCGGTGAGCAACTGATCGCAGCTGTGTTGATGTGGATGACATAGGATTCTTTGGAGAGTATCGTTCATCTTCTCGGTTTGTCCATTGGTCCGTGGGTGGAATGCAGTGCTATACTTGAGTGTAGTTCCGTAGGCTTTAAAGAGTTGTTTCCAGAACTGTGAGAGGAAACCAGGATCGCGGTCGCTGATGATATTCTTGGGGAGGCCATGGTGGCGTGCAACATGGTCGAAGAAGAGTAGGGCGATATCTTTGGCGGTGTGCGAGGTGGTGCAAGGAATGAAGTGGGCGTGTTTGGTCAGGTGGTAGACAATGACGTAGATGCAATCATGCTCGCGGTCGGTCTTAGGGAGACAACACACGAAGTCCATGGAAATGGACTGCCACGGGTGAGTGGGGATGGGCAATGATTGGAGCTTGCCGGGTTTGGCCCGGTTCGAGGGATGGACAGCCTGACACGTGGGACATGAGCGAATGTATGTTTTGACGTCGGCGAGTAGAGACGCCCATAGAAGTAGCGGGAGATCGTGTCGAAGGTTTTCTGGAAACCGAGGTGACCTGCGGTCTTGGCGTCGTGGTGCTCGGCCAAGAGTTGGGTACAGAGACCACGTGTGCTAGGGATGCACAGTCGGTGAGTGCCTTTGGTGTCGATGTAGAGGAGGTTAATTCAAGAGGAGAGCGGTGATGTGAGGATCGGAAGGGGGGCCTTGGTCGGGTTTGTCCATTTGGAGCAAGTCCTCGCGACTCTCGTGGTCGATAACAAGACAATAGTAAGCGGAGTCGGGGTGTTCACGAGATATGTGAAGGAACTGGTGAGGGGAGACAAGGGGTGGGGTAGAAGGGGGAAGAAGGTAAGGAATATCAAGAGAAGAGACAGGAGGGCGGGTGAGTCGGACGGAGGGGTGGAAGGAGTAGGGCATGGAATGGTCAAGCCATGGAGTCCCCAAGACGATGTCGCACATGAGGTGCATGACATCGAAGGAGACCTGAGTGCGAAGAGGACCGGCAGCCATGAGGGTCTCAGGGACAATGCAATCGACAACGATGGCTGAGTCCTTATCCCCTAGTCGGATGGTGATCGGGGAGTTATAGCCGGTGGAAGAGAGGCCGACTTTGTGGACCGGCTTCGGACACGAGATATGTGAAGGAACTGGTGAGGGGAGGAGATAGGGGGTGGGGTAGAAGGGGGGAGAAGGTAAGGGATATCAAGAGGAGAGTCAGGAGGGTGGGTGAGTCGGACGAAGGAGGGGTGGAAGGAGTAGGGCATGAAATGGTCAAGCCATGGAGTCCCCAAGACGATGTCGCACATGAGGTGCATGACATCGAAGGAGACCTGACTGCGAAGAGGACCGATAGTCATGAGGGTCTCGGGGACAGTGCGATCGACAACGATGGTTGAGTCCTTATCCCCTTGTCGGATGGTGATCGGGGAGTCATTGCCGGTGGAAGAGAGGCCGGCTTTGCGGACACAGGCTTCGGTGATGAAGTTGCCGGTGGCACCAATATCAAGGAGGGCCCGGAACTTCACCGTCGATGAGCCAAGGGAGACGGCGATAAACTTGAGCTGGAAATGTGCGGTTCCGGCATAAGCAGAAGAGATCATGGTGTTAAGGCGGCGTTGTTCCAAGCCTAATCTAACAAGCCGATCGTATCGTGCTTGTTCCGCAACGAGATCGGAGAAGGTGGTAGAGAAGGGGTTAGGGATGAGAGTAGAAGAGCAGGTGCCAGTGGGAAGCTCAACCGATGGGATAGTAGACGTTGTCGGGAGGGGGGCAGGCGGAGTAGACTGCGTCGCCTGGTGGTCGTTGGATGGGATGTGCGTCATCGGAGGGGGGGGTAGGCAGCCGGATAGTCGATGCCAAGTGGGCCACCGGTGGAGGAGAGATCGTCACCGATGGGAGAGCCGGCAGACAAGTGGTCGATGCCGGGGGAGGATTGCAAGAGACTGGGGGACAGTGTTCAGGTGGAGGAGGGACCGACTGTCATGGTGGATGAAGAAGTGGAAGTAGAAGGGCCGGGTCCCGCGGAGCGAGGGGCTTGTCGAGTAAAGCGGCTAGCGTTGGGGCAGTTGATCTGTTGGTGACCTAACTGGCGGCAGCAAAAACACCCGTTGTGTTCCTGGAGGTATATGTGTTTTGCGGGTGGAAGTTTTTGGAGACGGAGGGGTGGAGAGGAAGAAGGCGGTCGGGAGGCACGATCTTGGCGTTCCATCCGCATAAGGTGGGCGGCCCGGAGGTCCTCAATGGTGAATTGGGAGGGGTCGAGAGAGGCAATGTCGAAGTCGTCATCGGAGGTCGGTGGAGTGGTGTCGTCAGGGGTGATGTTATGGAAGAAGCGGGGGCAGGAGGGAGCGGGCGCGAACTGATGATGGGGGTGGAGGAGTCGATCGTGATGAAGCATGCGAGAGAGGAGGTCAGCAAAGTGCATGTCGGGTTCGTGGGCGAGGGCGGTTGCAAGATCTTTGTGGCATACTCGCTTGATGCGGGAGATGAACGCAAAGTCATGAATGATGGTGGTGGGGAGGTGATGGGGGAGGGAGCGGATGTATTGGACGAAGCGGTGATGTTATGGAAGAAGCAGGGGCGGGAGGGAGCGGGCGCGGACTGGTGATGGGGGTGGAGGAGTCGATCGTGGTGAAGCATGCGAGAGAGGAGGTCAGCAAAGGGCATATCGGGTTCGTGGCCGAGAGCGGTCGCAAGATCTTTGTGGCATACTCGCTTGATGTGGGAGATGAACGCAAAGTCGGGAATGGCGGTGGTGGGGAGGTGATGGCGGACGGAGCGGATGTACTGGATGAAGCGGTCCGTGGGACCGGTCTGGCGGAGGTGACATAATTGTTCGAGGTAGTCATCGATGGTTTTCTGGGGGCGGAAGGTGGCAGTGAGAAGGTTGGCCCATTAGAGGAAGGAGTGACGCGGTCCTCCATAGGCGCGGCGGTTGCTGACTTCGGCCATCCACCATTTGGCGGCATTGCCGAGGAGGCGGGAGGTGGCAATGGGAAACCAGTGGACAAGGGGCATGTGGTGGAGCTTGAAAGAGTTCTGGAGCTGGGTAAGGAAGAGGAAAACGTCCCCGTGGGGAAGGCCGAAGAAGGGCATGATGTCGGCGGATCGGATGGAACGGGGGATTTCCCCTTCGCGGGAAACAATCCGGGCGAGGGTGTTGAAGTTGAGGTTATCGGGGGTAGTGTCATAGCAGGTGTAATCAAATTGGTTGTTGTCGTCAAGGAGGTAGTTGGGGGGAAGTTGTGGCTTTGCGTGGTAAACCCCGAAGGTGACTTGGGAATAGGTGGGACGGGGGGTGGGG